AAATCGGAATTAGGCTTATAATATATCATTGAAAATCTTATTGCAAGGGCTATCTGATCATGTAATATTTGTCAGATTTTCTTTGGTTTCAGACTACAGTGAAAAAGGAAAATTAGGCCAAGGTATGTAGATTTTGGGCTGCACTACTATATTTTTTATCAAAAGCGACAGTCAGAAAAGATCTAATGCAATGACAATTTCATTTCCTTCGCTTTAGATAAAACTATTGCAACAACTTATACTTATATCCAGCTAATGCAACGGTTAATGCAACGGCTTTAATGTGCCGTCGCATTAGATAGGCTAATGCAACGACAATGAAGCCTAATACGACGGTACAAAAGCTATATAATCTTGCGCTTAAAGTTTTTGGGTTTGCTGCCTCACCATATTCCTAAAAATTTTGAAAGCCCGCCCAATCTAAGTAAAAAACAAACTAACAAAAATAAAAAAGGAAATCTTGACACTTACCACCTACTATTGTTGCCATTTTAGCAATTATCACCAACAATTTTTTTTTTAAATTTACCACCAACTATTTTGTAAAACACCAAAAGCTCCCACCAAGTTGGGTCTCAACTGCTAAGTGACGTCATGTGGGCCCCACAAAATACCTTCCCTCCCTTTCTCTCTTTCTCACTCAAATTCTCACTCCCCTGTCTCCCTTCTCTCTCCTTTAGCTTTAATGGTAATTAATCTTAGGTCACCCAACTAATTTTTTCAGCAAATTTACTCTCATGCGTCACTTCACTTCTCTCTCTCCTAATTCCTGGTAAAAAAACATTGAAAAAGTTCCAAATATGTACCTCATTCTAGGCAGTTGGAGAGTTCAATTTTTCTCAAACGACAGCGCTGATGAAGAGGGGACCAAGCTAAGGAGGACTATGTGTGTTGGAATCGGCAAAACCCTAATTTAAAAAGCAAGGTAATTTGAGTTTATACACTGACATTGTAAAACCCTAGAAAACGTAACACTGTAATTGCATGCTAATTTGTGTAATGTGTTATTATATTGATGAATTAGTTGTAAAGTAAGGTTTTTTTATTGTTAAATTAGTTGATATAATTAAAAATCAAACCAAATTGTTGCGATTTTAGTATTGATTACTTTGCCATTAAAATACTAGTTTGAAATGTGGTGCATGTGAATGTTATATTTGTTGTTTACTGTGGTTGGTGTGTGTGTTGTTGACCAAGTAATTGATTGAATAATGTTTGCCTTTTATATTTCATTGGTTGCTGCAGTATGGAGGAGGAGAGTATTTATCCCAAGTTTGTTGATATTAGGATTAGATTAGGAGGTGAATTTGTTACTAAGGTGCATAAAAGCAGGAAGGTTGTTGAGTATGAAGGAGGTTAGACATATTTGACTACACAAGTTAGTGTGAGAGACATGAGGGTTTCAACTCTTAGATATGTTGATGCCACTGGTTTCAGGGATGCTGGAACAGGTGTTCCCTAAAGGTTTAAGGTATGGTATAGGATGAAGGGTAGAACTCTAGGCAGTGGGAGGAGAGAGTTCAAGGAAGATTTGGACATTGACAGATTCCTAGACATAGTAGATAAGATGGGGATATTGGACATGTATTGTACAATTGAGCCAGTTTTGGATCCCACACCACAATTTATGCCTTTGACTTTGCCAACATATAGGAAAAGTTACCTACACTGACCATTAATGAACCTGGGCCCAACCATCAAGGCCTAATTGCAGCACAATCTCAGCCCATCTTACCTTCTACACAACCATGTTCCAAGCCCAAAGCTTAAAAACTAAAACCAATCAGAAAACCTAGTGTGCTTGAGGAGGCAGTGTTGATATCTAAAAGAAAGTTCAATAAGCATTTGGGAAAGGTGAATGAGAGAAGAACTACTCTTAGGGTGAAGCATGTTGCAAGAAAGGGCAAGGGCAAGAAATTCAAAGGGAAAAAGAAACAGGATAAGGCTAAGGAAAAGATGAGGCTGTAGTTCTGAAGCACGTGATTTAGATCTTGACTGGAATCCTGGAGAAGAAGAGAGTGAGTTGAATGTTGATGATTTTTTTTCAAGCAAGGGAGGGGAAGGATTATTGAAGGAGATATAGGAGAGTTTAGCTGGTGGGCTCAGAAGAGATGTGGTTCCAGATCAGAGCATGGCTGAAGTGAGAGAAGAAGAAGATGCTGATTCTGAAGAGCTAAGGAGTTTACATGGTTTAAATTCTAAAGAGGAACTAACACAACATTTAATACTCTCACTGATTTTAGCAAACCAATTAAATTGAAGGTGGGTTTGAGGTTTACTTCAAGCACTGTTGTCAGGCAAGCACTGAGACAACATGCCATAGAAAACAGGTATGACTTCTATTTCTTGCACAATGATAAGTCTAGGATTACAACTTATTGTAAGAACAAATGTGGATGTCCTTGGAATCCAAAGAAATGTAGAAAACCAATGTGCAGCTGTGCAAATCAGTGCCCTTTTAGAGTGTATGTTAGATGCTACTAGGAAATATTATTGGGTGATTAGATCTATGGTATTAGACCACAACTATGTTAGATCTACTACAAATAGCAAGATGAATGCAGAGTACCTAGGAGATAATTACTTAGAGCATTGGAAAGCAGATCCAAATTGGAAGTTAAAAGCTTTTAGGCAGAGGGTTTTGATAGAAACCGGAGTCAAGATTACCTACTGAACTGCGTGGTTGGCTAGAGCTAGGGCAAAGCTAAAGATTTATTGCTCTACATCTAAAGAATATGAAAGGGTTTGGGATTATGAGAAAACAATAACTAAATACAACAAGGGCAGCAGAGTGGGGGTAGTAATGGATGGGTTGGATGGGCAAGAGCCACCTTTATTCATGAGGATGTATATGGCTCTTAATGGACTACTAGAGGGGTTCACACATGGTTGTAGGCCAATCATAGGTGTAGATGGCTGCCATTTAAAGGGTGCATACCTAGGACAGATTCTAGTAGCTGTTGGGAAGGATGGGAACAACAATATATTCCCATTTGCTTGGGTAACTGTGGAAGTGCAGAACACTGAGACTTGGTGCTTGTTCTTGCAAATGTTGATGAAGGATTTTTCTGGTGAGGAAGGTGAAGGTTGGACCTTCATGTCAGACAGACAGAAGGTATTGCTTTCAACCCCCCTCTTTTGATCTTTGGTTTGCAATATATGTCTTATTTTAGTATTATATTGCAGTATGTGTGTCACTTACAATATTTGCCAAATGCATAAGGGATTACTTGAAGCATTCAACATAGTGCCTAAAGCAGAATCAAGATACTGTGTGAGGTATATTTGGGCTAACTTTAAGCTTTAGTTCACTAGAACCCTATTCAAAGAACTTTTCTGGCAAGCAGTAAGGGCTACCACTCAGGTTGATGTTTTTTATTTGTTGATTGGTTTTGGTTTACATGTCACAGAATTGATTTGTGACTAAATTGCTAACTCACTTATGTTAATCTAGGTTGATCATGAAATTGCCATGGAGAGCATAAAATTTTTGAATGAAGATGCATTTGAATACCTTGCCAGCATCCCCACTAGACATTGGTGCAAGCGTGCATTCTCAACCAGTTGCAAGTCAAACATGTTGTTGAACAACATGTGTGAAACATTCAATTCTTTCATCAAAGAGGCAAGAGATAAACCGATTCTCACTCAAATGGAGTGGATAAGAAGGTAGATGATGAGAAGATGCAATGAGAAATGGGAAGGAGTGAAGAAAATAAATGGAAAGAATATGCCTTACATCACCAAGACACTGGAAAGGATTGAACATGTGTCCAGGTTACGCATAGTGCAAATGTCAAGGGATAAGAGCTATGAGGTGGAGTTTGGAGGAGATCAGGTGGTAGTTGATCTAGAGTCAAGGACATGTTCTTTCTACCATTGGCAGCTTACTAGCATCCTTTAAATCCATGCCTATGCTTGTTTAATGGAAAAAAGAGCAAATCCAAATGATTATGTGGATGAGCCATACAGTAAGGAGACTTACCTGAAAGCTTATGGTACTCCTATACTTCCTGTACCAGAAGCTAAGCACTAGGAGAAGATGAACTTCAGGAAACCAATGCCCCCTACCATATGAGTGTTACCAGGAAGACCTAAGTCTAAAAAAAAGGAAGAAAGAGCAGGGAGAAGATCAAGACAAACCTGTCCTTCCAAAGATGCAAAAAAAATGTAGCAAGTGCAAGCAGTTGGGACACAACAAACTCTTTTGCAAGAATTCCTTTGTTGAGGAGGTGCAAGAAGTTGACAAAGGTGGCAGACCTCCTCTAGACACGCCTTAGGTTAAAGAGAAAAGGAAGGAGAGACAAGGCAGGGCAAGCATCAAGTTACTTTATGTAATCTGAATCTCATTCATTTATAAAAACAGTCACCGACTGAATCACTGACTATGTTACTGTCTTCTATAATAGGTGGCTGTAGGTGGAACAAAACAAGCTGATTCTTCTTCTCAGCCTGCTTCACAGTCTGATGTTGACCACCCACTTCCTTTCACACAGCTAAGCCAGAACCAACCTCCACAGCTGCAACAAACACCAAGCAGGGCTAGGGAAAAGCTTCCTATTAGAAAGGGAAAAACAAAGGCTGTAGGTAGCCTTTATAAGTAGTAGTGTATGTATGAACAAGTGATCAACTATGTAGTCTGTATTTTTTGGGGTGGATGATAACAGCACTACATCTTTGCTGTTTTGAACTATGGTCAGTTTTTGGTAATGATATTTTGTAAATGATAACATGACATGATTAACATGATTAATGAAAGTCCCCATTATGGAGTTTATACCCAAATTATTTGTGTTTTATTAGAAATACAATTTAAACCAAATTATTTTGCACAAAAGGTAAATGAAATTGCCATTTCTTCATTAAAGGATCCAAAAGGTACATTTGTTCATTCAAGACATTACACTTGATTCTAGGCAACATATTGCTTCATTCTTAGCTAATTCAACAAAAGTAAATCCCCAACATGGTTTCATTAACCTCTAAACTAACCTTATCTATCAAAAGTACCTAAACAGAATAACAACAACAACCACAAACACTAGTATGCAGTAAAATGCAGGGAGCATGAGTCCATGCTTCTTCATTACTGTCAATTGATGTTTGAGTGCTTGATTCTCAAGTTCAAGGCAGCCTTTTTCACCTTTCACATCGGCCAATTCCATCTTTAGCATCCTCAACTCAATCTTTTGCATGTTCACATCAGCCATTAGTGAATTAGTCACATCTTTTTGCCATTCAGTCATTTCAATGTCCACCCATTTGAAAAAGTCACAACCCCTGCTATCAGTATCTTGCTCGTAGAATTGGCAAGCTTGAAATCTTCTCCTGGGATGCTGCTTAGTCCATGAAGTAAGATTTGAAGTCGGATATCCACACTTGCAGATGTGAAAGCTTGTCTGCACAAAATCAAACCTCTACTTAGGTGTGACTACATGTAAGTTAGAGAACCGGGTAATAATTTATAAATTGCTTTTAATTAATTCACGAATTGAACACCTTAACCTCTAATTTCAATTGAAAACCCTAATTTGAACCACATTGATTAAATCCCCAAATTGATAAGCGAAAACCCTAAAACCAATTGAAAGCCCCTAAATTAAGATGAACAACATACCTTTCTTCGTGGAATCGTTGTCATGTTGCAAGCGAGAGCAATGTTGTTCCTTAATTTTTGTTTGCAGAAATCAATTACAAATTTTTGGCTTATTTTGAGAGAAGAATTGAACAGGGGAGTGAGAAAGGGAGGGAAGGTATGTTGTGGGGCCCACATGACGTCACTTAGTAGTTGAGACCCAACTAGGTGGGGAGGAAGTACTAATGTAGTATTGTTATGCCTTTGCAAATGCATAATAAATACTAAAATATTAAAAATCACATGGAAAAGAGAGAAAGGGGGAGAGAGAAAGGTGAGTGGGACCACTTTTAATTATATCACTGAAAACTTATATAATACCATTGGTTGTTTAGTGATACTATATATGCACGTAGTTAGTGATTAGGGGATTTTTATCCGCCAATCAGCATCCGACACGTGGACCAGCCAGGTTTCGCCACGTGTCCTTCACGTAGGCCAATAGGAGCCTGCCACGTATCATCATGAGGTACGTCCTCCATGGACCAATTGTGATGTGACACGTGTCCATCATGCCAAATGGGTAAATCAGCCAACAAGGCCCAATCTTGGTGGGAAGCCCAGTCAGCCTTAGGTTTAACCTAAACCTAGTACTGGCACGCATCCCAAGGCATATAAATATGCCCATTAATCCTCATTAAAGGGGGATTACACACATTAAACACTCTCACCTAGAAAGACCAAATTACACTTATTTCCGCATTAATTACTCCTTAATCAAGTACTAACTTGACCGTTGGAGGCGGATCTCCAATCATCCGGAGCATCCGTTTGTTTTGCAGGTACAGGCGTCCGGTTCTAGTCTCGGAATTGTAACTCTCCCGTAGGACATTAAAAACCCCAAAACAGTTAGTACCACTGAATGCATATATAGTACCACTACATACATACATAGTACCACTGAATATTCAATGGTATTATTTGATCACCCAATGATATTATTGATCACTCAATCGTACTACTCTAAAGTAAGAATATATATTGCGTGTACTTACGCCCTTACCCCTCGTTGTGTAGTTATTCATGCATAACAATACTTCCTTTAAACTCCCTCACTAGGTAGGAACTTTTGGTGTTTTACAAAATAGTCGGTGGTAAATTTCAAAAAAAGAAAAAAAAAATTATAGGTGGTAATTGCTAAAATGGAAACAATAGTAGGTGGTAAGTGTCAAAATTTCCAAAAAAAAAATTAAAAAACAAAAAACAAAACCCATTCCTGCTCATTATACAGATTGATGAGAAATACGGAGGAATGGCTAAAGCTTTTTTATTATTCCCAATTGCTTCATATAATTACTTAATCTTCTCCAGTTGCTTAACCTTCTCCCTTTTCATAATTATTTCCAATTTCCAATTGTTCTTCAATCTCTACTTAATAGCTTCACAAATTAACCCTAAGTTGTTCGATTTTTTGCAGTTAATTTTTAACAGCCATGACACGGCGACGATAAGGCGATGAAGAACGTCCCCTTCAATCTTCTATTGCTTTGAATTCCATGTTGCTAGCCAAAAATCCTTTCTCGCTGCATTTAATTCTATGTTGTCGCCATTTACATTGCCGTCTTGCCAACCCACAATTTGTAAGTTGAGAAATCCTCCAATCTACAAAATATGCATATATCTTCTCAATTTCATCTCTCCTCGTCGTTTGTTGTTATTGTTCTTTGTTGTTGTTATGTTACTGTTCTGTGGAGGTTTAATTTCTAAGTTTCAGTTTAATTTTCTGGGTTTTTTGTCAGTTTAGTATAAATAATTAGAGTTGCCATAAATGAAAATTGTTAATTTGTGGCTCGTGATGATGATTTTGAGAATTTTTGGCTATTATTGATTTTATTTATTCAGAGATTAGACAATTTGGGGGTTTTGGGAAACCGCTAGAAAAAGAAAAATAGAATGGGTTCATCTTATTTAATTTTATGGATATTAAAATATAATGGGGTTTTTATTTATAATTTTGATTAACTGAGTTTAATTCGTGTTTAGAAAAACATAATCGACTTGGGATTTTTCCCAATTATTGGAACTGCTAAATCTTAGTTTTGTGTTTCACTCTTTGACTAATTTCAACTTAAATTGAGTTAAAATTTCAATTTGTGAGTTTTTCCAAGAAGATTAGGCTTCACTCTGGTAAGTCATTATCTCCTTATTCATTGCATTTACTTGGATCAATGAATGAATGGGAAATATTATGCCTTTGGTTTGTGCTTATGCTTATGGAATTTTTTTTGCTAATTTGGGTTTTGGTTTCTATTAATTTACGCAAAAAAGAACGATAACATATGTTTTGGTTTAGTGTTAGATAAATTATTGAGGTGAATTTGGAGTACTCCAAATACACCTAAGCACAAAGCATTGGTGATTTCATATGTTGTTGCATTAGACCTACTGCAACGCCAGCAGATGCCACGGTACATGGTCGTTGCATTAGGCCTAATGTCACGGATTTTGACACCCAATGCAACGAATTTGGGGGTTGCAATAGGTAAAAAATGTAGTAGTGAGGAAAAGTGTTTGGTCTATTGAAAAAGCTAAAAAGGATTATGATATGATAAAAATGGAATGACTTCTTGGATTTCTAAGTAAGACTCAAATGTTCCTTTGATCCAAAACACAACTCGGACCAAAAAATTTTAATCAAAATTTTTTATTCAATGTGATTTCATATCAACTAACGTTTAAATTATATTTTTGCCATCTCTGTTAAATATCCCTTTAAATTTATGTGATGCCAAAATATGTTAGATACTTACTATTATCATCATGGTAAAAATCTTCATGTTATAAAATAGAAACTGCCATAAAATCATATGAATACAATTTATATTGCATATTATCTCAACTCATTGTCATACACTTTTAAATTAATAAATTTATGATTTATGATGTTATATGTGTCGTTTACTGTACAAAAGTAAAAACCTATATTCAACATGCAAAAATAACAATAACTAGTAAAAGGGTAAGAAAGGGTCGATCCCACAAGGAAACTAATTAACTTCCGAAATTCAAAGTTGGGAAAGTATACTTGGTAACATCCAATTTTCTCTTTTTCTCTTTGGTAAAATGAGAAAAAAGTAATTATTTTTTATAACATTGTGTTATTGGTTACCAATTATTATAACTATTTTACTAAAAATTCTTAACCATGGTTACTTTTTAAATTTTTAAATAATTAAATTATTACAAAAATTAAAAATAAACCTAAAACCCCTTCCCCACCCACCTAGTCACTACACCCCGTCGCCTGCCGGCGCCCAACCACCCCCACCCCTGGCCGGTGGTCGTCCCAGCCTCCCCCACCCCCCCGCCGGCAACCCCTATCCCCACCCCGATTTACATTACCACACTAAGCACAATCTTTCACCATACTACTCTCCTCATCACCTCCCTGCCACCACACACCAATTCCCTTGTAGCCTCCCCTCCAATTTCATGCCAACACCGCCCAGCAAAGAATGCAAACCACAACCCCTCAAGCACTAAACCAGCCTACAACAGTCGCTTCACACATCAAACTATCACCACCAATCGCACCGTCATCATCCCTGTTCCTCTCGCGCACTACCGGCAGCAACTCAATCTCCACCGTCATCATCCCAGCAAAAAAAGCAGCAGCTCACTTGGCAACACCCAACCTCCCAACCGCCGCATACAACAACAATACTCGCCAAGCACCACCACCGAACCGCCGACAACCTCAATTGAAAAAATCGACAGTAATTTATGCTCAAATTCAGAGTAAATTAGGAGCAAGCGCTTCGATTGTATCTGAAGAATAAACTGTCGAATTGATGAAATTTCCCGATGATATTGGCGATTAGATTATAGGAGGTGTCAACAATGGCTGAAGGGTGTGGTGATGGGATTGATGGGTTTATTGTTGAAGATGAAGATAAAGAGATTGAGTAGGAAGAGCAAGAAATGACAGGAAGATGTCGCCGACCAAGGGTGGGGAAGGCTGGGTGTCGCCGGCAGAGGATAGGGCGCCTAGCCGCCGGCAGGGGGAGGGGAGGGGCTGCTGGTGGCTAGGTGGGGTGGGGGAGGGGTTTGGGTTTTTTTTTTAAATAATTTTATTTTATTATTAAAAAATAATTAATTAAATTAACCAAACACTTAAGTTAAAATTTCAATAAAAAATCATTAATATTAGGAAATTGGCTTAAAATAATATCAACTATTAACGGTGTGTGCAACTAATACAACCTCAACTATTTGCTATCAACGGTACAATCTTTTGTACTATATGTGCAAAATAATGGTACGCCAACCACCAAAGAAGTCATTTTAAGGAATATTCCGTTTATATTCATTATTATTATTATTATTATTATTATTATTATTATTATTATTAAGGTATTTGTTTTAAAAAATACATTTTATGTTAATAATTTCATCCTACCCAAATTAATAATGCTCCGCCCCTTTGTTAGTCTAGTAAATTAATTTCTCTAAAGATAAAAATTTCTATTATCAAACAAAAGTAAATAGGGTATTTAAATGCATATTATATTGATATAATTAGTTTCAAAAAATGTATTAAAAAACTGGAATTAACATAATATTTCTTTTGTTTTTTATACTTGCTAAGCTATTTGAAAAAATGATTAGACTATGTAAGAGGACAAATTATGCTACAAGTTTTAATCGTAGCAACTTAACACTTTTTTCTTCATTTTTTAAACATAAAACTTTCTTCTTATTGATGGTAAAATTTTGTTGATTAATTTGTCCAAATATCTAGTCTAATATCTCTCTTAAAGTGTGTGTCATGTCAAAATAGTGTGTTATTGTAAATAAAAATATAGAAATTATGTATTTTGGAAAAAAATTTAATAATTAATAGTATAAAAATAATATAATAATAAATATGGATGAAATATTCCTCGAGATACATTTTCCAATAGCTGGCGTACTATTTTGTACATATATTACAAAAGGTGGTACCGTTGAAAGCAAATAATTGAGGTCTTATTATTTTTCACCCACCGCTAATAGTTGAGATTATT